TAGTAGTAGTTGTTGTTGTTGTTGTAGTTGTAGTAGTGACAGGAGCAGTAGTAGTAGTAGTAGTAGTAGTAGTAGTAGTAGTGGTAGCAGTAGTAGCGGTGGGCCTCGGAACCTTGTTAAAGTTTCGGAAACCAGAAGGGTGGACAGGAGAAAAGCGGTGCAGGACGAGACTGGAAGGGTAACGGTGGAAAGAAGACAAGCAGATAAGCGGATAAGCAGAAAAGCGGAGGAGCAGAAGAGCAGAAAAGCAGAGAAGCAGATAGGCAGAACCAAAAACAAGCAGAAATCGACAATCAGACACAAGCAGAAGGCAGAGTGACAAAACACTCTCAAAGCCTAGAAAACCCAAGAAAACAAAACAAAGAGAAATAACAAAACACACAAACAGTCCACAAAACGTCACCTCCCCTAAACACGGCGAAAATGCACACCCTCATGCGAGGATGTAACGCCAGCCTGGACTGCGGCCACCTTGCGGATACGTCGATGTGACAGCATCGGTGCCTTTCATTTTCTTCTTGGAGCTCAGACGGCAGGCAGAAAAAGGCAGGCAATAGACAACTGGACCCTCCAGGTTCGCGGCGAGTGTATTCGATTGTCATGTAGTTGTGTCGCGCGTAGCCAGAACTGTCCACCGCACTGTCCTCGGCCCAGCAGTACCTCAGCTGCTCAGCATTGGCAAGATCTCATATCATCTCTTGATTCCAGCTATGTATCGCATAGTTGGAGCCAAAATGCACGTCGTACTGAACGGCTTCTGCGATAGGCTCCACTTCGTCATCACGACTTGTGGACAATGGGTCCACATTTTCCAGTTGAGTGATTTGAATCGTAGAGTTGCTAAGGCCGTCGTTCTGTGCTGGCCAATTGGCTGTCAGTATCCGAGTGATGTGCATGTCAGACGGAGCCTCACCAGAGTCGGATCGGGCTGCTCGGCAGTAAGCCGTTCCCGGCTCGTTGAGCTGCAGCGTGATGACTATGCGGTCATTGCTGGCAGTGGGGTCCTGAGTCATGGCACTTGATCTAGCCAAGCATGCTCGGCTCTTGAAAAAAGCTCGGCATCCAGTCCTCTACGTGCAGCAAGGTAAAGCTGGGAGGTGTCTCATCCAGCGTTGTGATGTTGCCAACCAGATTGGAAAAGGCTTCCGCATCCGACAAGGAAATTTTCATCGCCTCGCCTGGAGCCACGAAGTTTGGCGACTGGACCAAGGAACGCGTTGCCTGCAAGCGCAAGGACCGCCAAGGAAGGAGCATGGAACGGCTCGGCACACTCCAAGCATGCACTTGCTGTGTCACTGCGCACCTGCAATGGCCAATCATCTTGTGCAAAGCAGAAGACGTTGTACGATTGTTCCGTTTCCAAGGCGTAGTTGGCCAGGCCGTCACGGGTAACAATTCGGTCCACCTCTCAGCCACAAGATGCCACAAGTCACTGCAGTTTTTTGGCACTTGCAGGCAGCCTTCACTTCAACGTCTTTGTATGACTCTGATACTTCTGCTCTCGACGCCGCCTGGAAGATGCGATTGTTCCAGGCACATGCAGGTAACAGCACTGTCCCATCCCTGCCTGCAACGGCTGCTGGTCCTTGATGAACCTCTCGTAATCACATCCTACAGTGATGTTTGCGGCCATGTCATCGAGACTGCAGAAGGTCGCGTTGTCAGTCGCCAGAGGAGCACACCTTAACGCAGAGTGTTCAGACTGCCCACTCAACGTTTCAAAGCGCGCCCTTCTTCGAGGCCAGGACCAGATCGTGCCTGGCTCGGTGAGCTGCAGGCGCAGGTGGATCGTCGCTTGGCTGGCAGCGTAGGCATCCACGAGGAGTAGGGCCGGCGGCGTTGCGTCGACGACCCAGACACCCGCTGTCATCCCACCTTCGGGGCTGCTGGGAGAAGCCACGGCCTGGAGGAACCGTCTGCGCGGACGGAAGGCATGTGAAACGCTCAGGAGGTCTAAGGCACCGGCCCTGGAGACGTAGTCATGTTGCATCCAGTTTGCCCGAGCTAAGCCTCTTCCGTCAACGGCGCTGTCTTTCGCCAGGCAGTACCTTAAATGCGAGAGTGCGCCGGTGAAAATCTTCTGTAGAGACATATCTAATGGCACACGCACAACCTGTCTCAAAGAGTTTCAGCTGGGGGGCACATCGTACTGCGTCGCTTCACGTATAGGTTCACTCTGCAGGTTGAGCATGGTCAGATTTTCCAGATGTGTCATGACAATCATGCCGCTGCCCAAACCATCATTGCTTGCCGACCAGCCAGCACTGACTATGCGGTTGATAGTCATGACCGTGGCCGTTTCACCGGAGTCGGATCGAGTGGCTCGACCTTGTAGAAAGCTATCACGCAAATTTCATGTCACCACCCATGCCCTTGGACTACAACTGGGCCAAGGGCAATATGCCGTGCCAGCCTCGTTGAGCGAAAACACCACCACAATCCTGCAAGCTCAAAAATAAGTGCGGGCAGTGTGCTCACAACTGAAGACCTGAATCCAGCCTGTCATTCTGCACAGTGGGATCTGCAATCGACAGAGTAGTGAAGTTCGGCGGTGACTCGTCCAGGGTTGTCAGCAAGCCGATGCCAGTCCTTCTCAGCGCTCTCTCACAGGCCAGAGAGATATGCACGAGATGCAGAGAGCCTCAAGCGCTCGGAGTCATCGAAAGAGGCGTTGTTGGGGCTGGTCACAGCCACGAAGCTCACAGAATTGGTCGCCGCGTTGGCCTGTCACACTATGGGGACCCCTCACAAGCCTAAAGGCACCAAACAGCAAGCTCCTTGACAGCTTAATATGTCTTGCAGATCTTTGCTTCCAAACTCGATTCACCTGCGCGGGCCAGTCGTCCTCAGCGTAGCAGAAGATCTCGTATGCCGTCTCAGGGGAGAGGAGGCTGGCTGCGTGTCCCTGGTGCGGATGCAGACGGTTCATGTTGATGGAGACGTCAACGAAGGCTTCATGAACGTCCGCACGGAAGTCGTTGGACTGTATCAGTGTGATCCAGAAGCAATCGGTGGTGGAAGACTGATTCTGCACTTCAGAGCTCTGGCACTGCGTCGCATCGCCCGAGGTGTCACCTGCGGCGTCAGAGCCCATCCCAAACGAACATCAGACAACACCGACGGACGGACGACGCCGACGGACAGCCTGCCTGGCTGGCACCAAACCTTTGTGCCGAAGTGCGAAGCAGCGAGTGACAAGCGAAAGACCGAGACCGAGGGCAAAGCCGTGCCAGGCTCGTCCAGCTGAAGCGTCACTTGCAGCTCTGACGAGGAGACGGCCTGGTCTCCCCAGATATCGAGCAAAGGAAGAAGAACGTTCAGACAACCCTCATTCCGCGGTGCCTCAGCACCGACTAAGATGATCTGTGGAGGGGTGGAGTCTACCACCCAGACACCTCGTGTCCAACCTGCGGGGACAAGCCTACTGGGTCTGCAAGAAACCGAGACCTTACGGCTCACAGCGCCTCCGGCCGGGGAGGTGGTGGAATTCACTTCCGTGATCGCATAGCTCTGCATCATGTAATTTGGTCTTGCCAGTCCAGCAGTGTCGACGGCACTGTCCATAGCCCAGCAGTAAACGTCATACTGTTGCGCCTCCAATCAAAAGATCCTAACTCTTCTCGCTCTCCTCTGCTCTACGCAAGGCTATGGAACACTACAGTAGTGTTCAGTGCCTCTGTGTTGCCCTTACCTCTGCAGCTACACTTCACCCAATGCGAGTCGGGTGGCCTCGAGAATGGGCACCGTTTGGTCATCCCGATTTGTGAGGAGCGGATCCAGGTTCTCTAGCTTGCTGATCTCGATCGTTGCTGGCAAACTAGACCCATCATGAGTCGATGACCAGGCAGCTGTCTGAATCCACGCGATGTACATGTCGGCACCCGTTTCACCAGAATCAGATCGCGTAGCTCGACAATATGCTGTTCCGGGCTCGTTCAGAGCGAAACTAATCTCAATGCGATCCGGGAAACTCGTCGGATCCTGAATGCTCAGCTGAGTAAAAGTAGGCGGGGTCTCATCGAGTGTGGTCACGTTGCCAAGGCCCTGATGAATCACGATAACCTGGCTGGAATACGCTCCAGTGTCGTAAGTCATCTTGTTCGCGGCAGCCCCAAGACCTTAATCAGCGAATCTCCTTTAGCCGGCACCGCAGAAACGTGCCTTGACACCAGCAACATTACACGACTGATCGGCTACTGAGTGTTTTGGTCGAGAGTGAATGCACTGCCGAAGTAGGTACAATAGACACCCTCGCTTCACCTGCTGTGGTCTCACTCGATTCGGCTTACCTTGCTTTGGGGAAGTCCTCTCGATATTAAGGCACTATGTCATTACGTGACGCAGCTTGGGCCCTAGTCCTCCAGAGGCAAGTAAGGTACGGACCATCGTCCTCGTCGTCTTCTGCATAGCAGTACAGGTGGCTGTATTCGGTCTGCTCCGAAAGGCCTTTCAGTACGACAACCACGTCCTCATCGTGTCTCCAAGTTCGCTCGTCCCTGTACGATGCTAAAGACGTCATGCCATCTAAGGCTGTGTCCTGTCAGCAACCATACAAAGACCATACACTGCATGCGGCCATGCCATTGCACATCATTGCACGCAGTCCTCAAGGTCATCCAAGTCGTAGACCCAAAAGCTTCCACAAGCTACGCCCAGAGAGTCCACGCATCCACTTGCGGCCCAGTCTTTGATCATCTCTTCAAAGTTTGTTGCATTCAGAGGAAACCCGAGCTCATCAGTGGGAGGCAGGTCGCTTGGCCAAGCCTTGCAAACGACACGAAGCTCTTCGAAAACAGCATCCTTCGATCGATACAAAAGAAGGAGTCAGACGAAGTAAGGGCCCACGCCGCACACCACAACCGCGCGCCCTCGCCAGCCTTGCCGAGGTCGCAGACAAAATGCAGAAACCAGCTTCCCTCTCCCTTTCCTCTCCTTCGGTATAAACTCTTAAAGGCACCACTACCAGCACTACCAGGCTCATAAAGTTCAGGCACCACTACTCACAGGCCTGGATGGTGAGTTGAATCTGGTCTCGAGCAATGGACCGAACGTTCACCACCCGCAACTGCGGGGGCGTTCTGTCCTGCCGCTTGGAAGCTCAGTGGCCCAAGCTGCTCACGACAGCTCTAGAAAAGCCTACCAGTGGCTTCGCAGCGCTTTCTCTACAGCTGCATCTCCGCATGCACCAACAATGGCAAGATATATCAGCAGCGAGTCCAGCGTGCGGATGCTCGTTCGAGTTTCTGCAATCGCTTCGGAACCGATGCCTGCACCATAGGCACAGCCATTGCCTGAACGCACGGAAAGCAGTCTGCAAGATGACTGCCTGTCTAAATTAGTTCTGGCACTTACAAAGGGAGTTGAGCTCGCGGCATGAATCATCTTCTGCGTAACAGAAAACCTGGCACGGTAGATGCGCAGAGCCGGCGCGAGACTCAGATGTTATCTTCATGCTGACGAGGCTTGTTGTCTCTGTAGACTCACACTCATGTTATGCGTCTCCTGTCGAAACAGGCACCAACAAGTTGCAACCGGCTGTTGGTCTTAAAGGACGCTGACACCGGCGCAAAAGCTGTGAGCAGGGGTTGTGGCACGAGCCGATCTTGTTATCACTGGACTCCCACATCGGACGCAGGCGTCGATGTGACATCTACCTGCTCATCCCCCACACCCCAACTTTTGGTTTCATCATCCACCATCCGCCGGAGTATGATCAAGCAGCCAATGCTGAACTCTAAACGCTTCTCTTGCTCTGACCAAAGTGATGCTGATGGATGTTTCTGTTCTGGTAGCCAAGCCTGGTAAAAAAAAAACACAAGAGGCCGCTCCTTCGCTCACGGCACATTCCTTCGTGGCTGTTGTGATCTTCTATGGTTTCTATAAGGTCTCGTTCGGGCCTCGTAGTCTGTTCCTCGAACCAGGGGCACGGTCGCATCTTCGCCACTGAGCATCACCGTCGCTGTGTAGGGCTCCGTTGCCATGGCGGCGCTGAAGCCCGCGCTCAGGATCTCCAGCACCGTCGGAGCGTCGCCACCGCCACGCACGGGCTTGCACCAGGCCTGGGCATCGGTACAGCGGACACCAGTCCATGGCGACGCATGTGACGCATGCACTTTGCTGAGCGACTGAGCCCAAAGCGGTACCGGCCTCCGACAACGACACGAGAACGGTAATCGCAGTCTCGGACGGTGCTGCAGGGTTTGACACGTTGATGTTCGGAGGCGTCAGGTCCAGTGTTGTTCGAAGCCCCACAGCATCCTCGCGAGAAAAGTGCACCCTGCTCTGCTACTGCGTTGCAACACAAGTTGGGACTTCAACAGTTCCTACACTGGCACATTGCATGACCATGATGGGTGCGTGCATGACCGGTGGTCCTTGAATGCTATGACAGATGCGAGGCTGCTCTGTTGCGGCTGCAGCCCAGTTTCATTGAAGAAGACCTAGGGATGCTGCATGCCTTCCAGCATGCATCTGTCTATCTGTCTGTGTATTCCAAGGTCGCAGCAGATGTCGTCACACTCTGTGCTTTCGTGGGCCAGTCATCCTCCGCATAGCAGAAGATCTTGTAGCCCGTCTCCTGCTCTTTGTTCTTGGTGATTCCCTTCAGACACATCTCTACACCTTACAAACACTCACTGAGCCCGTCTCCGGAAGGAGCGGATCTTCTGCTGCCGTGTTCTTCCGCCAAATGCGATTGATTTCCACTTCGACATACTCGAAAGCTGTGTGGACGTCCGCGCTGAAGGTGCTGGGGGCATTGGAGCCCTTGACAAAGCTCTCCCAGTAGCAAGCATCGAGGAGATTGGAGCTGATTTCGTCTTCGTTGCAATACGGCGAGCCCAAGGATGCATTGGCCGGCTCGGCCGCTTGACCTCAGCGAGGCTGGTCAGCTGCGAACTGCAAACGAAAGCAAGACTTAAGAAAATGGGATCATGACTAAACTTGATGAAGGCTTGGTCCCGGACACCAAACCGTCCCTGGTTCCGACAGCTGCAGAGTAACCTGCAGTGTGTCCTGCGCAAGATAAAGATCGCCCCCGCGATCTTCTACGCAGTCCCTCTGCGCTCGCTTGTGACGGGACTTCATTGCAATCCTCCGTCTTCACACCACCTGCCCGAACAAAGTACAACGTCGGAGGAGTGCTGTCAGTGATCCACACAGCTTCCTGAGCGACTTCAAGAACTGAGATTCTACATGTATACTCCACAACCACTCGGACAGCAAACTCAAGATGGGGTCGAGGCGATCTTTCCACCGTTCGGCGTGGTGTCATTACTGACAGCCGTCCCCACATACGCATGCCTCTACGAAGCGAGCTCCACATGTCGACGGGCACATAGTTGCTGCTGTGCTTTGCTCAACTATCTCACATCTCACGCCCGCCAGGTTGCGACATAAAATTCGCCCTGGAGAACCCCTGCATGTCTGTTGCGTTGTCCCTCGCCCAGCAATAGACATCGTACTGCTGTGCCTCCCACGACTTTTCTCTGCTTGGCAAGTGACTGACAACCGGCAAATGCTGAGATATTCCTGCCTCATCAAGTGGCTCCAATTGATCCAGCATAACATTCTCAATGCCGATTATCTCGATCGTGTGGTCGCTGCCACTGCCATCGTCTACCGCTGACCATCCCGCGCTGATGATTCGATTAATGGAGATATCCTGAGCTGTTTCGCCTGAGTCACGTCGAGTGGGCCGGCAGAATGTCGTGCCAGCCTGCAAGGGGAGGTTTGCCGAATGCTCCGCAGCGGAGACTTGAGGGTGCATGAACACCCCCCACCCAGTTGCTTGCCCCTTGACATGGTGCTCGATTTGTCTCTACTTTGATTCGATCGTTTTACAGGACTTTAGGACTGTATGATCGGAGCTAAAGTTACGAGCATTCGTTATCATTGTTTAGTCTTGATTGCTTTCAACGTACGGACGCATCTCCTTGAAAAAATGCTGTCGGGGCTGTTGATCATCCCTCACTTGTTCCGGCTTCATCCCCGCTCGCACTGTGACACTACATAACTACACACCCTTGCCAGGCACTGCAACAGGCACGGAAAGCACTCTCTCTTCCTCCACACAGCCCAAGGAAGGCAGGTTCCCCCCATCCCCGTCGTACGCGCAAGCACAGAATCTCCCTCTTGCTTGCTCGCTCAGCATCTGGCCACCGTGGAGGCAGGTTTATGCTCTCCATGGGGTGCCTGGATCTCTTGGGCTTGTGCCCCGAATTCAGAGCCCCTGAACTTGTCACTGCAAGACGACAGCAAGGGTTCACGCATACAGGTATTCTTAGTCTTGGTTCAGAAACAAGAAAAACGCGAAAGACAAAAACACATTTCGTGCCCTCACTCCTTGCCGTGTCAGCTACTCCAGTATCCCTTCCTGACCTGCCTGAGCCCTGCCTCTCTCTCTCTCTCTCTCTCTAGAGGAAGGGGGAGCAACCCCCTCTCTCTCTCTCTCTCTCTCTCTCTGTGTTGGCTCGCATTTGTCAAGATATCTGCGACTGTGGTCGTGCTCGCGACATACTGTGTTGGTGTCGACTGCACCAAACGGAGCTCAACCATGTCTTGCCGGTAATCTGCCTCACATCAAAACAATATGCTACAGGTTTTGTTCATCTTCGCCCCCTTCCTTTCCCGGGCATGCTGCTATGATGACATGACCTGGCCTCGTTCAACGCGAATGTGACAACAATGCGATCGTTCGTCTGTGTAGGATCCACGGTCATCAAGAGAGAAAATGTTGGTGGAGCCTGCGGTGCTTTCTTGCTCAGCTCACTCAAGACATGCTGTCGAGCAAACCAGCACAAGGACACGTTACAATTCATGTCGGCAAGCCTCATCCAAGGTCAGCAGCGATCCAATCGCATCTCTCAGGAGGCGTGCGTCCGTCAAGTTCACCTGGTTTGGTCCTGATTCATATCATGCTGCACCATGCAACGCCCACGGCCCAAGGCAACGCCAAACTGTGACAAAACATCTAGTCCTGCCGGCGGAGTGTATTCAGGCGATGGTAGGCCGTCAGCCTGTACAAGGTCCGGTCAAGCCACTGCGACCCTGCCCACAACCAGCCCACGCCTTTCCAGCACACCATCCCGCACCCTGCGTCCTCGCCCCATTCCGGCATGTCCACCCCGCAGCCGTTGAAACTGGACTTCAACCCACCCCGCAGCCAGTATTTCTGCGACCCGCGCAACTCACAAACATAAACGGGAACTCAAAGCCCCCGAAACCACTCTTCAGTGGGACAGTATGTTGCCCGCCCGTGCCTGGATCTGCCAATCATCCTCCGCAAAGCAAACAACGGCATACTGATGCTGTGAAGTCAAGCTCGTGCTTGAAGTGGAATCTTTACTCACCACGCGGTTGATGTTGATGTCGACATTGCGGTAGGCTTCTGGTACGAGGACAGAGAAGAGAGCATCTGCTGGGCCGGCCGAGGCCTTCACAAACGTCTCGAAGAAGCACTCTGCCAAAGGATCCGAGTCTTGGAAGTCCAGCTCGTTGCAGAAAGAATTGGGACTTGCCGACGCAATCTCTGCAGCTTGGCACCAGATAGTGCCAGGCTCGTCCAGCTGCAACGTCACCTGCAAAGTGGCACTTGCCAAGGCATCTGCCCGAACGAAGATCATGGTAGGAGGCGTCGAATCCGTGACCCAAACATGTTGTGTCAGACCACCAGCCGGACTTGAGCTAGAATTCGCCTCTGTCACCATGTATGCATGTGACATGTAGTTGGGGCGCGCGACCCCTTGGCTGTTCACCGCGCTGTCCTGTGCCCAGCAGTACACGTCATACTGTGTCTGTTCTTCGAAAAACACATCCACATCATCTCTCGCCGTCAAAGCGGGATCGACGTTCTCCAGCTTTGTCATTTCTATGGAGACGTCAGCACTTGCAAAAACTGCCGACCAACCCGCTGCGATCACACGATTGACGGACATGTCGACTGCTGTCTCTCCTGAGTCCGATCGAGTTGCACGGCAATATGCGGTGCCTGGCTCGTTCAGAGACAGGACAACGATAATCCGATCGTTGTATGCAGTGGGATCTGGAATAAGCAGCTTGGTGAACGACGGTGGGCTTTCGTCCAGGGTGACAAGTGGCCCAATCTCGTCTTTCAGGGCAACGCTGTCGTTGAGCGACACTTGCAAAGGGGAGCTGGGCGAGACGTAACTGATGGAGTTTGCGGCGGCGTCTGCTTGAAATACCCAATCATCCTCAGCAAAGCAGAAAATATTGTATCCAGTCTCCGATGTGAGGTTGGCAGCAGCAGATCCGTCCTTGAGGCTGATTGTGCTTATGTCAATGCTGGCATCTCTGTAAGCGACAGGAACCTCCACAACAAAGCTGGACGTGGTCAGATTTCCCTTCACCTCAGAAAGTCAGATCTTACACACTCTAGGCAGCAACAACTGGAAGGCCTTTGCTGACAACGGTCACAACACGTCATAATCAAGGCGGCCCTCCACACTTCCCCTATTCTCTTGCCTGTACATCCCTGTACCCCTCTGACCCCGGATCTAGTTTCGCAGGTTCTGCAACACAGATTTGCTTGTCGAAAGCACTCCCGTCCCGGAGCGACCTACTTCGGCCGGCAAGTGAAGCGTGAAATGCCTGCTTTCGCGACTTGCATACACTTGGGTCCAAGCATAGTCTTCGAAGAAGCATGGGGCCGCAGGAGAAGTAGATTGCAAATCACCGGCTAGTCCAACATCACCGGCACGACAAAAGCTGGGAGAAGTCGATGAATTGGGCAGCGCAGCTTGGCACCAGATAGTGCCAGGCTCGTCCAGCTGCAACGTCACCTGCAAAGTTGCACTTGCCAAGGCATCTGCCCGAACGAAGATCATGGTAGGAGGCGTCGAATCCGTGACCCAAACATGTTGCGTCAGACCACCAGCCGGACTTGAGCTAGAATTCACCTCTGTCACCATGTAGGCATGTGACATGTAGTTGGGGCGCGCGACCCCTTGGCTGTTCACCGCGCTGTCCTGTGCCCAGCAGTACACGTCATACTGCGTCTGTTCTTCGAAAAACACATCCACATCATCTCTCGCCGTCAAAGCGGGATCGACGTTCTCCAGCTTTGTCATTTCTATGGAGACGTCAGCACTTGCAAAAACTGCCGACCAACCCGCTGCGATCACACGATTGACGGACATGTCGACTGCTGTCTCTCCTGAGTCCGATCGAGTTGCACGGCAGTATGCGGTGCCTGGCTCGTTCAGAGACAGGACAACGATAATCCGATCGTTGTATGCAGTGGGATCTGGAATAAGCAGCTTGGTGAATGACGGTGGGCTTTCGTCCAGGGTGACAAGTGGCCCAATCTCGTCTTTCAGGGCAACGCTGTCGTTGAGCGACACTTGCAAAGGGGAGCTGGGCGAGACGTAACTGATGGAGTTTGCTGCGGCGTCTGCCTGCGCATGAAAGTGTCTAGGAAGATACCCTCATGAGAAGAAAACATCACGGTGAGCCTGGAGAACCCAATCATCTTCTGCTAAGCAGAAGACATTGTAAGGCCTTTGCGGCTCAAGCGCCCGGGTCCCGCCGGCTCTCAGCTGCAGGACGTTGACCTCGTTGTTGGCTCGTTCAATGCATGCTGCAACATGCAAACGATCGAGGTATAGGGTTTAGGTTTATGGTTTAGGGTTCATGACCCGTGCTTCAACCTTTCGTGTCAATCAGGACTGGCACAGCACAAGCGTTCAATGCTTCCCGGCGCGATGTTGGTTGAAAAGGCTGGCAACCACATTGTGTGATCTTGAGCCCTCCCACTTCAATGCGTGCACAATGAATTAGGCCCGGGCTTTCTGCGAAACAACCCCAACCCAGTTTTCGGAGGTATCAGTCACAATCTCGACCCTTGCTGTAGCTCCTTGAGCTACCAGCCCTAAATGGCTGAGGTGAAAAGTTTTAAGATTCAGACTCGATGCAGAAAGTTTCAATTACAAGGTCTAGGCTGGTGCACTGGCGGAGGGGCTCTCGTCAGACGACGTGACGACGTGGCACAAGTACAAACGAGGTTTGAGCTCGGTTTACTGCCGCTAAACCTCAAATAGCAAGGCCTCGACCTTCATTCGATTGTAAAAATTGACGACGAAATGTTCTCGTAAGCCAAATCTCCTAACCTGGGTTGGAGCTAACTTGCACTTCTTTACATTCGCTTTGGACCTCCTTTTGGTTGGTCGTGGCTTCGATGCGCCTTTGATCTCAAGCATCCCAACCTGTTTGACTTGCGGTGCAGCAACGGGCTCAAACATGTGAAACCACTATCCAGTGGACTTTGCATTTGGTTGGCATCGTGACACGCGTCTCGTGACTCCCTCTGTGGCTCGTCGCGGGGATGCACGTTGCACGACGAGCCAACGGTCCTTTGAGAAAAGAAACACTCTGAAGGCTCGTCGCGTCCTTGTGCTGTTCAGTTGTTTGTCGCGGCCGGCGAGTTCACCAGCCGCGCGTTGACATCATAGACAGCCAAGACTTTGCTTCTATGCTGAGATGTCTACCTCGACCTCCACATTTCGGTAGGCGCTGTCCACGGGAACTTCGAAGCTGGAGGTCGTGTTGCCCTTAATGAAGGACACGAAATAGCCTTAGTAAGCCAAGTTCAGCTTGTTCAGACGTATGGCTGCGACCAGAACTTCCTCGTTGACTTGGTGTCCCACACGGACTGTCAGGGTTTGTTTCGCCTGAAATATCCGTAGCCGTGCACTCTTCCAGCAAATCTGCAGCCTGACCTGGGAAGCGGGGAAGCCAAAGAAGCACCTGTTCAGCGATGGTCACGCTGAGGTACGGGCACCAGACAGTGCCAGGTTCTGACAGCTGGAGGGTCACCTGTCGTGAACTTCACGTTGCCGGCAGACCGTAACGTTTGCGGCTCTGCCACACAAGACATAACAAGTGTTGAAACACTGTTGAAACCTTTTCTCCTTCTTCAGGTTTCTCTCGCCTGAACATTTCGCCGGGATTCCCTTCATGCTATGCTGCACCCGAAACTCGATCGCTTCCGTACACATGCGCCGCTGCAGCTTGCAACGACCTGTCTAACGGCAGATGGGAACGAACGTTAAGAACGGGACGTTTCCAAAAAACTGTCCGGGCTGGTCGCCTCTGCGAAATTTGTTTTAGTATCGAGCCAAGCATGTTCAACTCGTTTGGCCCAAGGCTGGCCCGGCACCTTTTCCCGGAACCGGGAACCCGCCCAGTCGGGGCCCCGCACCTGCAGCGTAGGTGTCGACCGCGCCACGGCCTCTGACCGCACGAGGATCATCTTGGGCGGCGTGGAGTCTCGAACCCAGACGCCAGCAGTGAAACCGCCGGCCGGGCTGGAGGCCTCGCTTTCGAAGGCGGAAGGGAGGGAGAACCCTCGAAACAGCACTAAACCCTCATGAAACGCCTAGTTACATTCTCTAAGCTCACGGCATTGCTGACTGCCGTCCCGGCATAGTCCTTGCGTGGCCAGAAGCGAACTACTGTGCATACTCCAACAGGGACCCTAGCAAGGACCGGTCCTGGCTCATGAGGTTTGGGCGTGCCATGCCCCAACCATCCAAGGCATCGTCTTCTGCCCAACAGTACACGTCGTAGCGCACTGCCTCTTCCAAAGCTGCATTGTCCAGTCGATCCAGACTTCGGTTTGAGATGCTGGTCATCTCGATGGTAGCAACACCTGGACAGGGAGTTTGGTACCACCAGCTTCGTCAAATGAAACGTGAAAGGGAGTTGCTGCAGTGAGAAATTGCCTGATGAGAACGGCGAGGACCAGGCAGCGCTGACAATGCGGTTGATGTGCATGTCCAACCACGTTTCACCCGAGTCCGAGCGCGTGGGTCGGCAGTATGCAGTTCCCGGCTCGTTCAGTGCGAACGTAACCACGATTCGATCGTTTCCGGCAGTTGGATCCTCGATTTCCAAGAAGGTGAAAGTTGGAGCAGCCTGCTCAAGCGGCAGAGCTTCAGACACGGCAGCATCTAGCAGATTTGATCTTACAGCCTTACAGCACCGTCCTGAACCAGCCAAGAACACGTCTGCGGAAACGAGTGCCTCGTCTAAGGTTGCCAGGGGCCCAATAGCATCTCTCAAGGCCAAGCCCTGCGACAGGTCGACTTTGTTCGTCCCGGTGGTCAAGCCGAAGTTCACCGAAACAACCGACGACACCTGAGTGCTGGCAACTCCTCTCGTTTCAGCTAAGCTTGCGCGGTCTGCTCTAGCCGATTGGGCTGCCGACGGCCTGGACCGGCCAATCATCTTCAGCGAAACAGAAGACAGAGTAGAGGTGCTCGTGCATCAAAGGAATGGAAGTCTGATCTTTTTGCCAGATCCGTGTGACTTCGATCACTACATCGCGATAAGGTTCGGACACCTTGCATCGATTCATCTCTGCAACAAGCTTCCCTGCAAAACGCCCCAAAACATGTGCTTCTAAGAAGCCTCTGCGCTAAAGACGGTTTCGTTGTCCAGGCCCTTGACAAAGTCCTAGCACCCACCACTGCAGCGAAAGACCAAAGAGCATCGCACGCAGCTCCTCGTAGAAACAGTCTTCACTCGAATTCGTGGCCTGCGTGTGACAGCGTGCTACTAGGGGCAACAACAACAACAACATCATAGTGTAAGTTACCACAATGGGGATATATGATATATATATATATGATATGATATTAATGCCGGCTTTTGCCTGCACTTCATCCTCTTTGCAACTCAGCAAACTCGTGGAGTTGGCCTTTCCGAATGCTTTGGCACAAGAGGCGAAGTCTCTTTTGTTGCAAGTCTCCGAGTAGGGCGTAGGGCCGCCACCAAGTCTGCCGCCTGACACCTGGCATCTGAGATGCATACATCACAAAGCGATATGGAAGCAGATCTGCGCTGGCACCAGATGGTTCCAGGCTCATCCAACTGCAACGTTATCCGGAGAGTCTCCTTCACAGCTCCGGCGCAGTCCGAGTCCGAGTCCCCCCTACAGACTCAATAGGGAAGCTGCGCGCAGAAGCTGCGGATGAGCACTCCTGTCCAACAGCTGCAGCGCGAACCAATATCCTTGCAGGGGCAACTCGTAACTTGCGAGGGGCTAGACCCGACCAGTGCTTTCGAAGATGCATCCCAGGCGGCGTAGTATCTGCAACCCAGACTCCTCTACATTCGCGGCAGGGTACGTGCGCTGTGTCTTGGTGTAGGAAGGTCAAGCACGACAAGGATTGCAAATCACGACTTGAACGGAATGCCTTTCCCTCGCAGGTCGTCCCAGCGAGAGTAATACCCTGATGATCACACCGTCGTCTTACCCAGAAGGCTAATCCCTCGGCGTCTTCCGCGCATGTCACAGTTTTATGCTGTTCTTGTCGCTGGAGGCAAGACAATGTGTACATGTGTCTGAGTGTTCGCGCTGTGTATCTTGCGCTTCCGTGTCCGACAGCACCTTTTTTCGTCTGTCCGTGGCACAGGCGACCCAACGCTTGACTGCAAGTGTAAAGTATAAAGTCCTGCAGAGACAACCAAGTTCGTGCGCGAAGCATCCGCCATGTCAAAACGTCTGAATGGTTGCCAACCTACGCATTGAGCATTACCCCGTGCTGCCACGGTCTTGGCGCTGATCGGGCCAAGCATACCGTGAAACAGCATTGCTCAAGACACTCTTTGAGCCTCCTGCACTGTGCATTCACAGTGCGTCCGGCACCTCCTGTGGGATTGTGGTCCGACAACCGGGGTCTCCCTCCTCACACATGGCGGACCGGATAACAGCGAGCGGTGCTCGATCTGCTGACGGCATTGACAGAATACCGCTGACGCTGTAAGAGCGACCCACCGCTGCTGTTTCCAAAGAAGCCACGCGGCTGCACTTAGGACTGATCGGACGCAGCGCCGATGATGAGCAATTACACGGACGTGCTCAGACAAATAGTTGCTGCGTAACCGCACACGTTAGCCTGTGTGATTACAGACGTGTCTCTTCCTTCCCTTTTGTCCAGCTTTTTCCTACTGGCAGACATGGAAAGTATCCCGTCCTGGTGATGCATTAGCATGCAGTAGCACGTTGGTAGCTACAAGTACCAGCAGCTCTGAAATTGTCTTCAATTCGCATTCATTGCCATGCGCATGGTTAAGAACATCACCCTGCTTGTAAATACGACTGTGACAATTGCCTGAGTGATATCACACGTGGCTCCTGCAGTGCGGCCTCCTTGTGGGGATAAAGGATCACCAACATCGGCACTTATGTAGCCAGCGCTCATGATGTTGGGACGAGGAAGCCCCCGATCATCGGTGGCGTCATCCTCTGATAGCAGATGAATGCCGCATGCTTATGCGACAGCCGAGGCGTTCATGCACATCCTTGGCCAGGCAGTAGACATCGTACTGAGATGCCTAACACATCACGGCGAGATTCGCATCCACAAGACCGCCACTCACCGATGGTTGGCCTTGCCTCATCAATGAAGATGTTGTGGTCGTCGCGGTTTGTCAGGGCAGGATCGATATTTTCCAGCTTCGTCATTGTGATGATCGACCTGACACTATCAACCCGCACAAGACGCTCTTCTCTGTGACTCTCGGAGGGGTGAGAGTTCAAAACTGAGGATGCGCACGGCACCGTGCTGCCATTATGCGCAGCGGACCAGCCGGCCTCAGCTTACTCTTCCCCGGCATATCTCCCAACAACAAGCACAAATTGGAGATTCGGTGTCTAAAGCATGGAAGCTGTTGCTCTGTGACTGGGCGTCCAACACCCAGGATCCGCACGACCGGCCTCAGATCGGACTGCAGACAAAGCAAAAGCTTCAGCCCACGAACCTATGGCAGCTTAAGGCTTGACTTCTAAGGCAAGGGACATGTCAGCAGACGTCTCCCCGGAGTCAGATCGTGTTGCACGGCAGTACGCGGTTCCCGGCTCATTCAGGGCAAAGGCCACGATGATGCGGTCATTGTAGGTGGTGGGGTCATCCAATACCAGCTGGGTGAAGTTTGGAGGAGTCTCATCCAAAGTTCTCTTCGTTCCGATGAGCTCACGCAGGGAATGAACAGCTGTCAGCGAAACCTCCGATTCACCGGCAAGGCCCTCTGACCACGGTTTGAAGCGCAAGCCCGGCGGCCTTGTTCGGAAGGGTTGGTGCCAAGAAGCTGGGCCTAGGCCGCAGAACATGTGCTCCCTTCATCCAGGCCGACTCTCAGGTCCCAGCGAACGGCTTGAGAGCTGCAGGCTACTTGCCTGCCGCCAAAAATTCCCTACACACTCCGTTCATGGTCACGCCACCGCAGTTACAAGACACACCTCTATGGGCCAATCATCCTCTGCGAAGCAGAGCACCTGGAGAACAACCAAAACAGCGCCGCACCTTTTCTCATAAAGGCTCATTCCAGGGACCTGGTAATCCGTCTGGGAGACCAAGGTGGTGGAAACCTGATTGCTGTCCAGCAAGCGGTTCATGACGATGTGGACGTTGCGGTGCGGCGTCGGCACTGTGATGCTGAAAACCTAAGAAGCCAACAACTCCGGGTCTCCGTGCGACCACCACTCTCCGGTCTTTAAGGGTGCTGCGGACTGTCCGGAACCCTTGATGTAGCTTTCATAGTAGCATGGCTCGGTGTCATTGACGTCCTGGCTACCACCGCGAGAGATCGAAAACCAAGATGCCCTAAACCCTTTCGGAAAGGCCTGCAAGCTGCTGTTATCGCAGATTGCTGCATCGGGGCCCTGCAAGCTCATGGCCTGACCTCGGGACAGCGCCACTAGCTCGCTCCCGCGCGCCGAGATCAGCAGATGGGCATCCCTACACCAGATCGTGCCAGGCTCGTCCAACTGGAGTGTAACCTGAATGCAGAGCCGATCTCAGCTGAAACACAGATCCCGACAGGGCAGAGAGCTTGCCTGGATGGTGTTCGAATCCAGGCTCTCCGAGTCAATAAGAGTGATGGTCGGTGGCGTAGAGTCTTTCACCCAGATGTTTGCGACGCGACCACCAGCGGGAGAGCCTTGCCACTTGGGCTTTGGATTGTCCGCTCTTCGATGCCCAAGGTGTGCACACGAGTCAACTGAGACTCTCACCGGCACTGACAGTATCTGCGCTCACATATGCCTGCAAAGCCATCTGTCACCATGACAGCAGGCCTACAACAGCAGCCTGACTTCACTTGTGTCCTGCGTCATGTAATTCGCTCTTGGGAATCCTTTTGTGTCCACGGCTGCATCGCGTGCCCAGCAGTACACATCGTAAAGGGTGGCCTGCTCACGAAGCTAATACATTCTTGACACAAGCAAGGCAGACCGGTCGCTTGCGCCTCCAAGAAGAACACATCTTCATCGTCACGGCTGGTAAGCAGGGGATCCACATTCTCTAGCTTTGTCATGGTAATTGTCCTCAAGCAGAAGAAACTGTCAATGCACAAGTCGGTCGTCACAGTGATATGTGTTCCATGTCTGTTCTTCCACTCTCACTTGTCTTTGGCTCCGCGCCGTGTACCATTTCCATCATATGCAGACGACCAGCTAGCAGACAGAATTCGGTTCAGGTGCCTTTGCTTGTAACTCACAGACAGCATTCGCCGCTCCCAAAACCAGCATGCTCTGCACATTAAGAAAGCCCAAGGCTCATGTCGGCTGCTGTCTCACCAGAGTCCGAACGCGTCGCGCGGCAGTATGCAGTTCCAGGCTCGTTCAACTCAAAGGATATCGAGATTCGATCGTTGGAGGAGGTAGGATCCTGCAAGCTTCTCGGCAGTGTCCGGACCGATGCACACAGATTTCAGTACATGCACATGCTACGACCATCTGGTCATATCCTGGATCTCGAGTGCAGTGAACGTCGGCGGTGTTTCATCCAGTGTAACAATGCTTCCGAGCTGATTTCGGATGAACTCCACCTGACTTGCCTGAACACCTGTATTGAAGACCATCTTGTTCGCTGCGGAGCCCGTACCTCGCACCATGTCAGCTCCGTGGGCTCTCGAAGGATGTGAAACAGGACAAACAAGCTTGTGCCCCGTAAGTCTTGCACCATCATCTTCATCGTCCTCTGCATAACAGTAGATGTAGTCGTACCGAGTGGCCTCAATGCAGCGTATGGGCATGTGAAGCGCCACCATCGCACTGACTCCCCGAGTGTCCGACTTCCTCCAGGTTCAAGAGCAATATCGACACATCTTGTTGGTATTTCCATGGGCTGGCATCAAAGTCCGCTGGAGTGGAGACCCCGTCTGCTGAAGAATCCTCGATGTCGTCCAGGTCATAAACCCAGAAAGTGCCACACTCGTTTCCCAATGTGTCCTGAGAAAAGCGGGGATTCACCAAAAGCTCACGAAGCAGCCACGGCTCGAGCCGAGAGCTGGACGGTGCAGTTGGCCGACTCAGCCTTGATCAAGTTCTCGAAATCAAGGGACATGTTCGCAGGCCTCCAGTAGGAAGGAATGCGTCAGGAGGAAGTCGGGGAGGGATATATAAAAGTGGAGAGAGAGCCAGGGACGGACAGAGCCTGGCTAGAGTGACACTGAGAGGGAGAGAGGGAGACTGCACGTCTGGCGCACCCTGGCAGGCTAACTGAGGGCCGAAACCCGCCACAATGAAACAAAAGCACGGGGGCGGACGGAAATTGCGGCTGGGCCAGTCGCATGTACCCGGCGAATTCGTAAAGAGATTCAACATACAAGCAGCATATTTTGAAGTCGTTGAGCCATGGAATGGCATTGACTCGCTGGGTTAATGAGTGAAAGTGAAACAGTCAGCGTGCGATGCCGGCGGGCATCTGCACGTGCCCTGCTGGTACATGTGGGCCCGGTCGAAAAGCCAAATGGAGGTTACTTCAAGAGTGAGTTGTCTGCTGCTTGAATCGTCTGAAGCAATGATGCAGCGGTGCTTTGTAAATTCAACGCCAGCTGGGCGCTCGGCTCCGACTCCCACGTCGCACACCATATCTTGCCTCCTTCGTCCAAGCGCAGGATGAGGTGGAGCGTATCTTTGGCAACAGCCTGCCCGCGTCGCGATCGAGGTCAACATGCAGAATCTGCTACAATAAGAACATACTGCGGCGACATGACGATCCTCAGCGTCAACGATGCTCATCTGGGGAGGTGTGGTGTCCAGCCTTGAGAGCCACGGCCCTGGCATTGCCCTTCAACATGTTGCTTAGGGCCGTCAGGGTCAGCGTATGAGCTTCGCACGTTCGGAAAACGCCTGGCACAGCATCAGGTCCACACTGGACAGGGTCGGTTTGGCCGTTTCCTGGAAACCCACACTTGAAGGATCACACAACCCAGCTCTCTCACTGGTCCTTCGTCGTCTTGTGCCCAGCCTTACGAAACCAATGTTCAGAAAGGACAAGATGTTAGTCTTGTGAGCTTTAAGCAGCAAGCAGAACACATTGTAGTCAGTGCCCCGTTGAAGTGGGACCCGTCCGCTTGGCCCATAGTCCGCAGACACCATGTCAACCAGCATACTCGCCACAAAAGGCCTGCGCTTGGGCTAGCGTCTAGAGCTTACTTTGTCTAGGAAGCTTGGCACAGTTTCTGCTCAGGTCGGAGCTCGTACGCAAACGTGATTGAGCTGAATCCTCACGCGCAAACAGTGCATCACAGCAGCTGCTATGGTGATATTCATGTGATTCTCTGCTACGACATACCTTGAGATTCTTAGTTGGCTTGCACTTTGCTTCACGATTGCCGTGATTGCGCGATGTCGTCGTGCTTTGCGAAACCCTCATCATCCGGAAATCGGGTGGGTTTTGAAGCTGGAGAACCCCATGTTGAGTTCGCATCTGCTTGTTACGCCAGGCAGGAACGATGCTGCAGCATCTACTGGTTTCTCCGTTGGTGCATGTTGTGATCACCTCTTTCGAGGGTGATAGTCGCGATATCCGATGATTCATGTCATATGCTCTTGAAAACCATTATACCTATGGCAACGATGATGCCTGGTGAAGCTCTTGAGCATCAATTCATGACACACCTATTGTGGCGATTCTGATTCTTCGGGTGTGACCGGAGTGCTTATGCGTGGCAGGACTGCTGTTGTGTTTCTGCTAGGAACGAGCGTTCCAGCTGATGTTGATGATCATGATGATGATCACATTGATGTTGCTTATGATGAAGGTTTTGATCATGATCATCACCACCATGGTTATTAGTATTGCTATCATGAATCATAATTATTGTTATAATTTCTATTTTTGGCTAGTATTGTGAGAATTAATAACAATAATAATAATAATCGTGTACTGTTCAGGCTTTTCGCAATCACTCAGTGCTCTTAGGTGTTTGGGAACCAGCCACTCCTCTCTCTTGCTAACCACTGACACCGTAAATGCTGCGATAATAGCCCTAAACCCTAAGGCCCTAAACCCTAAACCCTACTAGTAGTATTGTAGAACTCATGGCACGGCCAACACTCTGCAAGAGTGGATGCTGCAGAACCCCCAAAACCCAAACACAGGGACTCCTTGCCAAAAGCCCCAAGCCCAATTGTAAACAGGTGTGACTGGCTTCCAAAAACTTCAAAAAACTTCAAAACAAGAAAGCCAAAGGCTAACTGCTTCCGAAAATTCGAAAACGAAGTGAGTGGCTGCGGAAAGCACGACTCTAAGCGGAGCGACTGTTTGACGAAAAGGGTGACAGGCCCAGAACACCAAAAGGGCAGAGGGCTGTAGAATCTCAACAAACCACAAGACAAGGACCACGAGCGCGAATGCTTGCTGCAGAATCCCGAAAACCCCAAAAGAGTGACTCTCAGCCAAAAACCGAAAAAGCTTTGGCCGCAAAAAGGTGTGTTGCGAAATCCGACAACCCTGAAAGGCCCGACTGGCTCCCCAAATACAAAACCCCTAGATGGAGCGAGCCCCAACCCTAAACAGAATGACCTGTTCGCAAAACCCACAATCTAAATAACTTACAACTGGCAGCAAGCGCAAAAGCATAGATGTTGCAAAATGCCAAAACCTGAAAAGGAGTGACACACTGGTTCCCGAGACTCAAAACCCGAAACGGATCGAAATTGAGTGGTTACGAGAAAGCCGCAAACCTAAAAAACGGGAGTGACTGACTCACAAAAACATAAGGTCCTTTTTGGTTAGCATCGGCGGCAGGCCCAAGAAAACCCTTTCACCAAAAAGGAATGACTCGCTGGCAAAAACTATCAAAGGAGTGAGTGGTTGCGAAAAGAGCCTAAACCCTAAACGGCCTGATTGGTTCAAGTCGTCGCGGGATCGTCTACATTCTGCAAGATTCATGGGGCTGCAGATCCGTCCTCCCGCCACCATGAATCGGCTGGGTCGTGGAAGACCCGCGCGGACAGCGATGCAGAAGGCCGTGCCAAGCTCGTCCAGCGTGAGGCTCACATCGATGGCATCTTCTCGTCCTGAAGCTGCCTGCGCAGTGCAGTTTTGGTTGCCGGGCACGACAGAAGAGTCAGCACCAGCCTGGGCAGTACAATTGAACGAGAGCGGCGCTGTCGTGTCAAGCGTGCGGACCCGCTGTCGGGTTGCCACTGCGGCACCCATGGTTACCACGTTAACGATAGGCTGCTCCGTGTCCTTTTCAGATTCAGCGCTGTGCTGTCTCTGGACTTGGAATGCTGCTCCTGCGCATAGCAATACACATTGTAGAAGGTCTTTGTTGCCAGATCAGCAACCTCAGATTAGAGCTGTTGCAGTCTCCAGCCAGAGTGAACCATTTCGTCGGGTCGAGCAAGATCGTTCTGAGCCCGGAACATCGACTTCCATTTCAGCATAGCCAAAGATTGAGCTAAAGTCAGCCTCGGACGCCGGGAAATGCATGCAGTGATGCAGTACTGGGATAGACAGCTGCAGAGCTTCATGAAGCCTAGGGCAGAGACAGAGGCGGAGAACGTTGACCCGATCTCCGAAAGTGTCACTGCCAGCTTTTGCCCACTGGATCCATCCTGAGCAGACTCAAAAAGAGCAAGTGGTATCAAGCAGAAGCAAGAACGTGCTTTGAGGGGATCTGAGGGGTGCAGACAAGTCACTGGAAAGGCCTGACAAAAGGATGTGCCACTTTCATCAAGACCTCAGCACCAGGTGTGCTGATTGGTTCACAACTGACAATTTTCGCGACAGGTGCCCTGCGGATCGTGACGCGAATGATGTTCTCCGAAATGCCATCGGCTGATACCACCGTCATGACTGGGACAAGCGGCTTTGCCAAATGCTTAGAGGCTTAGAGACCCTTGGACCTTTAGAAACTGCACTCCGAAGACCGGCCTGGTGGCGTGACGTCCGCTGCTCGTGTGCGAACCTACCGCTTCTACTGCTTCAGCAAAGCGGCTGCACCAGACAGCTCAGCAGGATCTGGGCTCAGGGCGCGGTATGTTTCGCCGTTCGAGCCCGCGGGCTGGAGAGGCTCCAACAGATCTCGCTGTGCCTCTCTCGTCAGATATAAGCTCACATTCGCTGCGAAGCTCTGGTCGCAAGCTGGGCATCACACCAACAACGTTGTTGGAGTGGCACGACGCAGGACCCCGGAAGCCACGGTGATGTCCCAGATCTAACACGCAGAAGCAGTCTCCACACATCCTGATCACGACCGATGACTGGCCTGGCCCTTGCAATCGTCCAATGTCGCGGCATTGATGGGACACAGGTTGGAGCGTGCAACTTCGGACGCCAATAGTGGGTCCTGAAACACAACATCGCCGGAACGAGACACTCGTGCACAATTCCTGGCACATCCGAGGGCGTGACATTCGGAGAAATCGTGATTGACGTATTGAGCATATCAAAGGACACCTTTGCCGAAGGAAGAAGAGCAAGCATTTGTCTTGTAAACTGTAATGAAGAAGAAACCCTCCTTGCCTGTAGTTCATCTTGAACAGGTATGGATCGGTACTGCGCAGCGCGGCCCACTGGAGTCAGCACCAGGTTCCCCGAACCAGGCTCAATGGCCTGTGGAGATGAGACACGAGAGAGGGAGAGAGGCGCTCTTAGAGACACGACAAACATGCTGGCAAATGCTGGCAACGGCGATGGCCTCGCTGAAGTTGATCACAATACTGCCATCCAAAGCGAGGTCGTCAGCATTGTTGGCAGGACTGAACCCGGTGATGCACGATGTTTCGAAGACGTATGCACCTGTGAGCCAACATGAACCAAAGACGATTGCAAGTTGGAACCAAAAAGGGGCTTGTGCCTCCTGACAGCGCTGCCACTTCGTTTTGGGAGGCTGACAGGTCGCGGAAACAGCCGGAGCTGTATGTAACCTGGGCTGGCTGTCCAGATCCAAAACGACCGGAGAGCATCTCGGGCTTCGCTACTATTATGGCGGTTTCTTTCCCTATGCTGGCTGCATCAGGCACGAGAGTCGATACGGGGCCTCTCATGACGGATTCCAAACTGAGGTGTTCTAGGTATGGCTGAGCACGGCACTTCCTAGTTTCGGGCTTCGCGAGGCAATTCAGTGAGCAATCCCAATGGCCGAGCACCTCTGTATGGCTGGTTTTTGTGGCAACTACCATTGATGAAAGCAGATGAGACTGACCACGCTTTGCAAGGAAGTTCAAGCGTGAAGACGAGAAACAGTCGTTCCCAGCACCCTGCGGCATCCCGACGTTTCGCTTTCGGCCAGTTCTGTGTCCGGCTGATTTCCGGAGAATGCGCCTCCCGTCGCAAGCAACTGCGGTTGAGCACCGCCGTCGAGGCGGCTTCAGCTCGTCGTCTAGCAAGTTCCTCCATGCAGACCCGCTTCGACAAAAATGGACAGGCTTGTCCCCTGTCCATTCCGAGCTCGGTCCGCATTTCTTCATACAGGTGCGAGTGTGCTTCATCCCTTTTCTTCGAGAGAACTGGAGCCACACCTCTGTCCGACAACAAGTGGATGGTGGCACAAAGGGCTCTCTGCGCGCTTGCAGAGCTTTCCCTGCTTTGTGGCTTCCTCGGCCTCCGGCTCTGAAAATTTCGGAAACGGTGACTCTGGATGTTCGGGCTCCGCCGGCACGAATCTTGACTACTACTGATCAGTGATGTTGATGGTCATCCCCACCCCATCAATCCTACCCGCCACCCCGCCACAGTGCTTAAACCCTTTAAAGAAAAAACAGACCGGGGGTGAGAGTGTCACTATCCACCCATCCGTCCTCCCCCCTGAGATGGGCGATGCCTCCTGTCAATGTAAGCCGTTATGTAGAGATGTGCGCTTCTTCCCAGAAGCGCCGTCGTTTTTGCTGGGCTGCGTTGGAAGTACGGATTCGCTCGTTTACAGGCATCTGGCACTAATCAAAGCGTGGAAGCTCGGACGCCCTAACGCAGCAAGATGAGCAGGAACCAACAAGAACCAATTCTTGGAACCGCCAGGCTGCTTCATACCGTTGGCAGTGATCGCTGAAAGCGCCCGGGTCCACGATGGCACTGTCGTACTCAAGAACCTTTGCATCAGGATGCGCTTTGCGGAGCAGACGTCGGACCCAGGATGAGGCTCATGCAACTGAGTTCGACTTGCATGGCAGACTGGTGCTGGCACCAGTGTAAAGGTTTTGGATAGTGACTACCTGCCACAGCCCCAGCTTTCAGTGTCACGGACGTTCAGATGCCCGTGCTGCCTTTCCCACATCGGGGGACGCTTCGACACCCTCCGAGAAAGTCAAGTTGATGCTGTCGTCAGGGTCAGCACCTTGATAAAGAATGTGCCAAGTGAGTGGCAAAAGCTTCCAGAAGCGAAACGCACACCTGGACGTCGGTCAGCAGAATGACAAGCATGTTCAAGAGATTGGCCGCTTCAAACGTGTTTACTATGCGACAAGATGAATATGCAGCTGTGCCATGCTTGCCCCGCAACATGATATCATGTGGAGAGTCACGCAATTACTCAGTTTCCAAGAAGAAGGAGGGCAAGGGTCTCCAACTGCTTGCAATCCCTCGGGCTGCGGCAGGGCTCTCCATTGGAAGGAAGAACGGATACCAGGCTGGGTGGAGTAAAGTCACCCGTGGCGAAAGTATACTGGAAGAAAGCATTTGGAAGACCACTGCCAACACTTTGCCTCAGCACATTGCCGTTTTGTAGAGGTGACATTCTTCAGCTGGCAAAGGCCCCGACACCGTCCCAGCATCAATTGTCAAGTAATAGCCGACAAACTCTGTCAGGAAAGTCGTGTCCAAGTTCCCCTCGTTCAGTACCAACTGGCTGGAATCATTCGCATCGATGACCTGAAAACGTTTCAGGGGAAGAGCTTCGGCTGTTGGGTTGCACACAGGCAATTGCCCCTCGTGACGGTAATTCGCAGCAAGGCACAGCCCCGCTGCCCAGACCAAAAGATGTTGAGTTGACACCATCAAAAAGCGTCACCTGCAGCCACTGTCGGCATGCCATTACATGATAGCGCGCACGCGATGAAGAAAAGAAGCAGTTTGAGCATGCCTGGCCGGAGGGCTGGAGCACCACGTCTTCATCGAAAGTGATTCGCACCTTCCGCCGACACACACGCACACCCTCACGCTCTCGCACACAGACCTGGCCACACCCACACGAGCAGACACTTGCACCAAAACACTCTATCCACGCAACCACCTTCCCTCCTTCTCTACGACGCCCCAATCCGAGCTTTTTTTGAAGATCGTGTTACGACGCACTTGCACAACTAGTGCATGCGTGTGTGCTTTTCGGTCTCATTCCTATGCCCAGCGAGGGTAGCGCTATGTGCAGACAGTGCCGTGGTGCGGAATGGAATCTCACAATGCAGCGTTTGTCCGCCCTGTTCCTGACATCACAGTTTGAGCTGTTGGGGAGCCAGGTATTCCTGAACACTACTTTTCACTACCTGGACATGTGACATGGCTGATGTGCGATCGCCGATGATATCCGTGTAAGAGCACAAGCTGCTGCCACAAAAGCCATTTTTGAAGACTTCGAACCTGTGTCTTCAATGAGTGCATATATTATGCACGCTCGGAGGCACATGGTCGACATAGCGACGAACGTGTACATGCACAAGCACGTATAAGATGTCCAGGCTATATTCGCAAACACGGAGACACTGAAGCAGAATGTGTATGTTAGGCCTGTGCACGTATACGAAACGTACTGAAACATAGAAAGATAAAACAATAACGCCGTACAATATGATAGAATATAATAGTATATGAAAAAACTGAAACATAATGAAAATGGAGTACGATATACAATGTTTAACATGCATCATAGAATGTGGAACCTAGAACAGAATAGATAATGTAATGTATAACACATAACATGTCATTTATTGCATAGTATATCTCATGATTGTTATCTGCTACATGCTATATAGTAACAATATACAACAACAGCAACAATGACAACAAC